CCATACCATACCAAAAATTTTAATATCGTGGTTTTGGTATTATGATATTTGGTGTGGTATATGGTATACATTTTCATTTTTTTGGTATTCGATACGGTATTTGGTATTTAGAAATAACATACTGAATTATTGAATATCATACTGAAATATATAGTTACATAAATAACACACACACACTAATTACAAATATGTAACCTAGTATAAGTATAAACTAAATGTTTAGAAGTTGAAACTTTGACTACTCTATTTTGATTGAAATGTATTTAAAATATAACTAATTAACAAAAGGAGTTGTTTGTACTTTATTTTGAATATATATTTCTACATACATGTGCAATGTGTTAGTATGATACAATAATTGGAACGTTTTTTATTTGTTGAAGTCATAATACTCTATTATATGAGTATATATTAATTGAAGTTGAACAAACTATGATTACCAATTATTTACCATACCATAGAATATCGAAAGTGAATTTTGATATACCGAACCATACTGAATTAAATTGATATGGTAATAGTATAATATTTTTTTAAAACCAAATACCAAAGTTACGATATTAAAACTTTCAAATACCGTATCATACTACACCATATCGTCCATCCCTACTCATTGCCATCCCTAATCACAGTGGCGGAGCCAGTAATTTCATCAAGGGTGTTCAAGATTTTTTTTTTTAATAAGTGAGTTGAATGTTATTTGCTTAACCTAGTGATTCTACCATGAACGATCTCAGCATTTGTCAATATCAAATATAAACAATCGAGTTTTTTTCTTCTTTTTGATGCATTTATTTTATATGATAAAAATATATGATTATTGTTTTAAAATTGAAATATTGATAGAACAAATGCGTCTAGCTTTACGAAACATAAATCACCCCAGTAGAAAAAAAAATCTTAAAAAAGAAGAAGATAAAACGCATATATTGATTTTAGCCTTGGGTTTAAAGTTGTTAACATATATAAACACAAATAATGTAAAATGGTGGCTTTTTTGTTTTCACCATTCGAAAGTGCATTATATCCTAGATAAAAATTAGAAATACATGATAACTAAATATTCAAAATTAAAATAATGTATTCATATATGTTACTCTATATTATTAAAATTGTAATATTAATAATAAAAAACTTGAGGAACATAATAATGGTGTGTGAGGTTGTGTTCTGCTCTCAAAATAAAACCAAAACAGTTGTGCGCTCACGAGATTCGAACTTGCACACCTCGGGTGAAAATGAACACGCTTAACCACTGTGCCACGGAAGAACTTATGTCAAAGTTGTTCAACATTAATTATTTATCCCTTAAATCCAGAATTTAACCTCTCTATGCGGTGTAATTTTCCGGCGAAGGGGGTCAGCTGACCACCCTTGGATCCGCCACTGCCTAATCATGTGTACAATATCTCGTTCAAATCCTGAATGTCGACTCTAAGAATCATTTTCAATGCAAGAAAGAATGTCAATCATCAATTATTGAACCACATTTCATTTTTTTTTGGGTCCACGGAGCACTAGTCAACTTTTAGCCAAATGTATGACTTTTTAGATATTCAAACACTGTATTGGCATGTGTTTACTATTTGATGTTTGTATTGAGATTTAATTAGATTAATTCATAATCTTATCCACTGATCGAACTCATCACCAACTTTAGTAAGAAATATTTCACCTTTCACTAATTTTGGCTCCTCATTATTAACATCATTGTTTTTATGATATATGTTTTACCTCTCCATTAATATCATTTGCCTAATCTAAATATAAGAATATTCTTGGTTCTTTTTTAATATCTGACAAAAATAGCAGCAAAATAACTAAGAAAAAAAAAGAGTCCAACTTTATTTTTAAACAAAAATTATTCTCGCATTTTACAAATATTATTATACTACAGTATTTCCTCTCGATTTATTTTTTTCAATTCTGGCATGATTTTATTTTTCAAATGCTTATCTTTTTAGTCAACAAAAAGTAGATTTTTTTTTTCTGTCAAAGGTAATTTACAAGATTTTATTTTTTTATGTTATATGCTTATAAAGTAATTTTAAAAATATGATCTAAAATTTGTCTTTTGTAATACCAATTTTTTAGTGATTATCTCAAGTTCTTTTTATGTGTTTTGTATCTTCTATATATTTTTTATTAAGGATATTCATGATTTCATTTTATTGAATTTATAAATAAAATTAAAATTAATCAAAAGGAAATTAGAAAATATAATTAAAAATGCTGATATAAATGAGGAGCCAAAATTAGTTGAAGATGAAAGTTTTCTCAACTTATTAAAGTTTGTGAGTTTTTTCCTAATTTGTTCTTTAATTATAGTTTAAAAGTATTGTTAAATTAAATTTAATTTAGACCTCCAAATTTTTAAATATAAAAAGTGTCACTCATCTAAATATGCACTTGAAAAAGAAGAGGAATTGAGTTATATGTTCTTTTTTCAAACCACTTGACAAGAAAATTGTACTCATTCTTCCAAGTTATTTTTGTATTTATATGGAAAGTTTTTTTGTACGTAGTCGGCAAGTCCTTTGAATCTTAGTGTATTCAAATTTCAAACTTTACGGCCTCTAATTGGAAGAATAATAGGAACATCGATTTTATGTTCATGGTTCGAACGATTTCACTAGCTTTTTCGTAGATCATATATTTGTATTAGAAAATTAAATAAATATATGTTTATCAACAACATGTGAACCTCTAAATAAAATTGATTTAGAACACACAAATTCCTAACCTTGGCTCGTCTCTGAGTACATGACTAATTTTCCACAGGTGATTGATAAAAAGTAACAAAAAATATAGATCAATAAAACACGTACATGAGATTATTTTATTGTATATTTATTTTTCTTTTATATAAACTATAAGGGGTCGTTTGGTTGGGAACAAGTTATTCCAGGATTAGCTATCCTGGGGTTAGCTATCCTGGGATAACTTATCCCACCATGTATATGGATAACTAATCCCATCACTATGATATAAATGGTAGGATAACTTATCCCATCACTATGATATAAATGGTGGGATACTTATCCCATCACTATGATATAAATGGTGGGATAAGTTATCCCAAACATGGCAACCAAACAAGATACAATAGTTTTATCCCATCACTATTTTCTTACCCCATCACTATGATATAAATGGTGGGATACTTATCCCATCACTATGATATAAATGGTAGGATAACTTATCCCATCACTATGATATAAATGGTGGGATACTTATCCCATCACTATGATATAAATGGTGGGATACTTATCCCATCACTATGATATAAATGGTGGGATAAGTTATCCCAAACATGGCAACCAAACAAGATACAATAGTTTTATCCCATCACTATTTTCTTACCCCATCACTATTTATTATTATCCCTCACACCAAACGATCCCTAAAGGAGATCTCTTTCGTTCGTCTGATGCTATCCTAAATGAGTTACATGTGTACTTCAATCAAAGAGAAGCCAAATCCATAAATTAACGGCTACTTTTTACTATTATTTTTTTAATTATTGGTATAATACATGAATATGACCCTTTAGCGGACAACTATATCCTCCAACTTTGAGTGTGCACAAGTAGACACTAAGCTTGTATAAAATGAACAAATAAACACACATGTTCTACATGACATAATACATGTAGGCAGTGGCGAATTTACAGCCAAAAAATAGGGCACCCGCACCCGTGGTCTCTTCGTAAAATTAGATATTTTATATGTATATTTTTTAAGATTTTGTATAATATTATATTCTTGCACCCGTACTACAAGAAGTCTAAATGGTCCACATGGTTAAATGTTGAGCTTTTGACCTTGAGGATTAAGGATCAATTCTCACTTCAATACATTTTACTTGGTGCACCCATGTTCGAAAAATCCTAGATTCGCCTCTGCATGTAGGACACAAAAATGTCATGTAGGACGAACGTGTTCATTTCTTCGTGTCAAGTTTAAGTGTCTACTTGTGCATACCCTAAGTTAAAAGTTCATAATTGTCAGTTGACGTCAAGTTAAAGGGTCATGTTTACGATTATGCCTTAATTATTTCAAGTAATTTCCTTATAAATAAAATAACTAAGAACCTCATTAAATGAAAGGTAAATATGGAGAAAAGCCCCAATAATTTTCTTAAAATTTGAAAAAATCACCTTATTTTGAACTATGAAAATAGTCAGAAGAATTTACATATTAAATGGAGGGAGTATCAATCAAGATTAAAAGAAAAGGCCACATTTAGAGAAGTAAATATAAAACTGCAAAAAATAGCCTTGCCAATCAATATGTACTGTCGAAATGGTGCACGACTGTTGACAGAAATTAAGGTAAAAAGTAGAACATTGACATTGACTAAACTAATTGATACGAACCAAATAAAGTAATTCCTTCTTTTAGCCTTTTTTTAGCTTCCGCTATTTCAAGAGTTAACTCAGCTTCTTGTGAAAATTCATATTAATTCTTAAAGATTTTTTTTTATTAACCGCAATTTCTGAATCAGCTTATTCATAACACAAATATACACGCTACTTTACAAGCAAAAACATTGCATTGCATTCATTTTAATGATTCCTTGAAGACTTTGACTTTGTCAAAGTCTTCTATTGTTTGGTGAACACATTATTAAAAAGACAACTATAATTGTCAACGCCTTCTAAATTTTTATCTAGCACTCTTGCTTTGTTTTCATTCACAATATCTAAGAAATTATATTGAATATGATTAGTTTTTTTTTTCTTTCCCATCAAGTTTTCGGTATTCATATTGGAGTTCATTAAATCCAAAATTCGCGTCAGAAAATCTCATATTGGACAAACCACAGTCTAACAAAACGACTCTGTACTGAGGGGGAATCGAACCGAATATGAGTAGTTGATTATACCCCACTAGGCCAATCGACATTATTTTTTTACTCTAAGGTCATTTTCTTCTTAGTGCTATATATTGACCCTTTAATTAGTACGTTATTTTAATTTCCATAATAATTCTACACCATGCAGCATAATCAAGTTGCTCTGTTTTCTTTCCCACTCCTCTGTTTTATGCTAATCTTAACACTAACCACCGCCCAAATTATCCCCTCTAACACCACTTCTCCTCCTCCTTCTAAGCCCAAGAACGCCACTTCTCCGCCAACCAATGCCAACGCCACCACCTACACAATAACCAAACCTGCTAACATAACAAAACCAGGATGTCCAAAACAATGTGGGAACCTTACCGTTCCATATCCATTTGGAATTGGAATAGGTTCTGGTTGTGGATTAAACCCGAATTTTGAAATCAATTGTGATACTACTACAACAGATTCTCCAACACCCCTCATATGGAACATGCAAGTCTACGACATCTCGGATGCAGAAATGCGGATATCAAATACCATAAATATAAAGTGTTACTCACAAACAGGAGTTTTGGTTCAAAATGAACCTGCTTGGATGGGTTTAGGAAGATCAAGTCCTTACAGTTTTTCTTCCCTAAACAGGTACGAGGCGTATTCGCAATTAGTTTACATAATTCTTAAATTAATTTCATAGTAGTTAAAACAGTGTAATCTCACTACTCTATTCGTTTTGATCCAATAACATGATGGACGAGTCATAACTCAACTTGAGCTGATCTCGCGGTCTCTTTACATACTGATTCTAAATTATAAATTCACCTCTGCAGATTCACGGTGGTTGGTTGTGATGATGGTGCTCTAATGACCGCACTTAACTTCGCTAATGGTTGCCCCACTGCCTGCAGAAGTACAAGTGATGTAACTAAAGGAAGATGTATGAGTTCCGGTTGTTGCCAAATGATAATACCAAAAGGCTTGAAATATTACAATACAACTATGATCACCACGAGAAATCATAGTTTATCTTGGTCGTTTAATCCATGTGGATATTCGTTTCTTGGTGAAGCTAGTCGATTCGAGTTCCAAGGTGTAGAGGATCTCAGTGATGTTAATTTTGCAAAGAAGATTATGGATAATGTCCCTATTGTGCTAGATTGGGCCATTGGAAATCTTACTTGTGTTGAAGCACGAGAAAGTAACGATTATGCTTGCCTCGATAATAGCCAGTGTGTTGATTCTGACACTGGCATTGGTGGCTATCGGTGTAGCTGCAACTCGGGATATGAAGGCAATCCATATATAGGCTCTGGCTGCCAAGGTAATTTGATTTTTGTACACTCTCACATCATATACAGGTTTTATGCTCAACGCTATCGTATATCATATAGGCAATTACAAGTATTTATGTTATTCCATCTGTCTCATTTTGTTTGTGTACTTTTCAAAAAGAATATTACAATTCCAACTTTCCACATGAAAGGTTTAACATTGCAAGATTAAAGGTCATTTCGATACATTTGAAATATATTAAATTTAACATGACAAGATTCAATCGACAAAACATAGACTCTACATCAAAAATGTTCTCTAACGACAATTAATTAATGACAACAACTTAATTGCCGCTAAATATGTTCTTTTAGAGGCAATTGACACTCTTTATAAATGTCTTTGAAGCATATTGTGATAATAAATCTAATGATAATTGTAAAGACTTTAACACTCTTTGTCAATGTGCATACTTATTGCTGCTAAAAGTTGTTTTTGTTATATTGAGGGATTAATATTGTCTGTTTTGCATTCCAGATATTGATGAATGTGCAGATCCAAATACCAATTCATGTGAACAAATTTGCACAAACATGCCAGGGAGTTACAATTGTTCCTGTCCAGAAGGATTCTCTGGTGATGGCAGAAAGAATGGTCGTGGTTGTATTGCACCAAACTCTAACACTGAGTTCCCATGGATAAAGTTTTCTGTTGGTAAGTTTCTTAGAATTTAAATTTGAATTTGTCTCTACTCACGTATAAATATACGTCTTGCTTACTTTCTATTAAAAGTCATGGATTATAAATGGTAGTGACAAATCATGAATCATTTCTTACAGTGAGCATGTCCATTCGACCAAATTTGGATTTCTAATTCCAACAAATTTGTTTGATAAATACAGGTATGAGTGTTGGTTTTGTATCCCTAGTGGTTGGGACAACATGGCTCTATTTCAGCATCAAGAAAAGAAAACTCATTAAACTTCGCGAGAAATTCTTCCAACAAAATGGTGGTTTGCTCTTGAAACAACGTATCTCTTCTAACGAGGGTGGTGTGGAAGCAACAAAAATTTTTACAGCCGCGGAGCTGAAGAAGGCTACAAACAACTATGCTACTGATAGAATTCTTGGTCGTGGTGGAAATGGAATTGTCTATAAAGGTATTCTACCTGATAACCGCATAGTTGCTATTAAGAAATCTAAGTTTATGGACGAGGAACAAATTGAACAGTTCATCAATGAGGTACTTATTCTTACTCAAGTCAACCATCGAAATGTCGTGAGACTCTTTGGATGTTGTTTGGAAGCTGAAGTTCCTTTACTTGTCTACGAATACATTTCTCATGGAACTCTTTACGAGCATATCCACAATCGAAATGGAGCACCTTGGTTATCTTGGGAAAATCGGCTAAGAGTTGCTAGTGAGACAGCAAGTGCACTTGCTTACCTTCATTCATCTGCACAAATGCCAATAATCCATAGAGATGTCAAGTCAGCCAATTTATTATTGGATGATGTTTACACCGCGAAAGTGGCAGATTTTGGTGCTTCAAGGTTAATCCCTATTGATCAAACACATCTTGCTACAATGGTTCAAGGGACATTAGGATACCTAGATCCTGAATATTTTCGCACAAGTCAATTGACTGAGAAAAGTGATGTTTATAGTTTTGGAGTAGTTCTTGCCGAACTTTTGACAGGGATGAAACCTATTTCGAGGGATAGAAATGACGTGGACAAGAATTTGGCAGAGTATTTTGTTTTGTCCATGAGAAAGAATCAATTGTTTCAAATTCTTGATCGCAAAGTGGTAAGAGAAGGAAGCCTTGAGCAACTCCAAAAAGTGGCTGAGCTAGTGAAGAGTTGCCTTAGTTTGCACGGTGAAGATAGGCCTACGATGAAAGAAGTAGCAATGGAACTTGAAAATTTAAGAAAGTTCACAAAAAATAACCCTTGGGCTAATGAACTTGGACATGAAGAGAACGAAGATGAATTATCAGATCTTTATACCATTCCAATTGACTCTAATGCAGGCATCGACAATTTCTCTGGACAATATAGTTTCAATTCCAATACAAATAGCAGCAACTTTTCTGGACAATATAGTTCGGGTAGTACTTCTAACACAAATAGCCCATTGATCCAAAACAGAAGGGTAATTTGATAATGCATTTCGAATTTTCTGATGTAATTTTCTTTCTTGTGATTCGTACTTTCTTCTTTAAATTTTTGTTTACATTGGAGTCAACTCCCACTTATGTGATAAATTTGGTGTTTAGACTATTTTCGTACATTTTATATAAATTGGTTTACACTTTATACTCAATTTAGTTCAGAAAGTTTTTAAAACTAGACTTTGATAAATAAGAACTGAATTAAATTGAACTGGAAAGATGCAATGCCATAACAATTCGAACCGCGCCTAGTTAAGAAAATTCAGTCCTAGAACAAGAAAAATAGGTCCAAGCGAATCACTCAACGATCTTAATTGAACTTCCCAAGAGAGTTCACCGTTCAAAATTATAACAAGATACTGGATGAACTGAAAATATGCAACATGCCCATATTCCCAATCGTGAAAACTTTTCGAAATAGAAATCATAGACGTGATCAAGCTGTGGCAAAGCAAGAAAAATATATTCTAAGACCAGGAGGCGTCATTGAATTTCCCGATCCACAAATTATTAGTATAAAAGAATAGTTTAGATTAAAATTTAATAACTAGGATCATTAATCTTTAATATCGTGCGGATGCTTATACTAAACTGCAATTTCATAGCTAGGATCGATATTCTTTAATATCGTGCAGATGCTAACACTAGTACATGTATAATTCATCCTAAGTATAGGTAACTTATTATGCTAAAAAATGACTGCAATAACTAAAAACTCAACATTTTCTAACAAGCCACAGTGACATATGTATAAAGAAGGAAAAAGCAGAAGCAAGTACCATTGAAGCCAAGAGAGAAACAAGCTCAGTTGCTGCCGGGGGGATTTAAACTATGATCAAGTAATTTTGGTGCCTTCAGTAGTTTCAGCCCCTCCTCCCTATACCCCTTTTTTGATTACTAATGATTTCGAAATCTCTTGTGAGGATGAATCTACACTTTGAGAAGTCGGAGTGGCATGTGTCTCACCATCTCGAGGGCACCAGTTCCTCTTCAAAGGATGGTTTGAGTGCTGAAGTTGCTAGAAATTCTTGATTAAATTTTCATTTTTCTTATCAAGTATCTCAGCTTTAAGTGCTTCTTTCACAAGTATAGGAGCCTCCAAGAAAGGAGTTACATCTCCATGAATACTTCCCAAGTGCTGCTTAAGCCGATAAAAACCAGAAACAATTTTACCACAATAGTTGCACTTAATTTTTAGCTTCTTCTAATCAACTTCCACACCATGTTGATGAATATCAATTTTATATTGAGTCATTTCCCACATTTATATTGAGTTTTCTTCAACTATAAAACTACAATCCATGAGTTGTTAAGACCCCTTTAAACTAGAGAGTACCCATAACTTTCATTCTGAAACCTCTAGTTTAAAGAGGTCTTAACAACTCATGCATTGTAGTTTGGCAGTTGAAGAACACTCAATATAAAGGTGGGAAATGACTCCAGAAAAAAATTGACATTCATCAACATGGTATGGCAACTGATCGGAAGAAGTCAAGAATTAAGTGCAACTATTGTGGTAAGGTTGTTTCTAGTTTTTATCGACTTAAGTACTACTTAGGAGGTATTATGTAACTACTTGCTTGGAGACTCCTATACTTGTGAAAGAAGCACTTAATGTTGAGATACTTGATAGGAAAAATGAAAACTTAATCAAGAATTTCGAGTAACTTCAGCATCCAAATCTTCCTTAGAAGAGGAATTGGTGCCCTCGAGATGGTGAGACATATGTCGCTCAGACTTCTAAAAGTGTATCCTCACAAATAGATAATGATATACAATCTAGGGTAAGCATATACAAATGTATCAATAGGATAATTATATACAAGTTAAGCTACGCGTATACAAGGTCAAGTGGGTGAAAGGAGTTGGTGGTGTCATCCAAGTTGTCCCCATGAAAGGGGATGTTTGGGCTCTGTACAAGCATGTCTCTAAATTGAATGTGCTAACTCCGAATAAGATGATATACAACTTTGATTCGGTGGAAGTGCTAGGCGACTACATTGAGAAGAAATTAGGTGTCACAGTTCATCCACTAGTCAAAGTAGTTGGCTTCATGTTGGTATTCCGTTAGCATTTGAATGCTCAATATTTTCATAATCAGAGGGAAGAGATGTTCCGCTTCTCTCTTTAGATCCCTTCATATATGCTCACTGGTCAAGAAGCACCAAATGTTCCCTCTAGTTGTTGGGTGTTGGATCCTGCAACTCTGCCTTTAAAACTTCTTAGAGTCATGTCAGATGTTGGAATATAGGCTCAGGAAAAAGTTGCAAATACTTCAAACATAGGAAGGACATGTGGTGAAAGCAAAGACTTACAGATGTCCTATGTTGTTGGAAACAAAAATTTGACAAAGGGTGAAGAGACTCCTAGAGATTCCTTGATTGTTGTCAAACAACCCATAGTGACATATTCAGAAAGAAGAAGGAGAAAGTAGAAGCAAGTACCATTGAATCCAAGAGAGAAACAAGCTCGGTTGTTGTCGAGGACTTCTAGACAATGATCGGGAGATCTCATTAATATTAGCCATCGCATGCGATTCAGTTATGATATAACCATTAATTTTCTTTCAAATCTCAACACAACCATAAGATCCACCACTAGGTTCCATGTTGAGCTCTACGATAAATAGTTTGTCAACTTCAGAGCTTCTGAAAATAATATTGTTAGTCTCTTTATTTGAAGTTAAGACTTCAGCTTCATCATAAATTTTGTCTTCATCTTTTCCATTTGCTTCCTATGTTTGATTCCATAAATTAAGACTCCTAGAGATTCCATGATTATTGTCGGTTGGTGTTCTTTTAGAAATGGGGCAGCAAAAAGAATTGATTGAAATATCTCTCAATATCGTTATTAATTATAATAGGGCTGTAAATAGCCAACTTGACAACATAATGCAGAAAATGCGCATAACAAAAATTCAGAAAGGCTAAATAATATCAAAAATTAAAACAACCTAACAAATATTTAATATTCAAAAATCATCCTAAAGCTAGGTAACTTACTATGCTAAAAAATGACTACATTAACTAAGAGCAAACTCAACACTCCTTTGCTTTAGATACTACAATTTTAAAAAGTAGCTCCTCCTCGATTTCTGCTTCTACTCTTTGTGCTTGAGGATTATTTATAAGCTTGCACACTTTTGTAACATGACCGGCTTGTATGCAATTTCAACATATTGCATCAGGTCTCTACCAAAATTTCCAAGTGTGTTTTTCTAAAGCAATATTTGCAAAGAGGATAACTACCTATTTTTTAATTTTTTTTTTCCTGTTTTGTGCATAAAAAGAACCTCCAGCAATATTTTCTTGCCTGAAGGCTCTTCTTAGCTCGTATTCTTGAAGAGCACTAAGTAGTTCTTCAATAGAGATAGTAGAGAGATCTTTAAATTCTTTCGGAGAATAAATTCTTGGGTCAAATCTTTCTGGAATTGTCTTAGGAATTTTGCTACTATTCTGTAATCTTTGAAATCCTCGCCAAGCAACCTCATTTTATTAACAATCAAATATATCTTATCAAAATACTTAAGCAATAGTTTCATACTCTTGCATCCTAAGAGATTTATAATCCATTTTCAAATTCAAAATTTGCCTTCGTCTGACTCGTTCACTTCCTTGATATTATTTTTAAAAAAAGTTTCAAGCTTCTTTTTTCTTCTCACAAGCAATGATTTTAGAAAATGTTGAATCCACGACTGAATTTTGAATTACCATTTTGGCTTTGAAATTTTTGGTTTTTCATCTGAATGAGATTTAATTTGGGCAATGGTAGGATTTGCAGGGAGAGGTTATAAGAGTATATCTTCCATTACAACTTTTTACATATCATAGGCTTCAAGATATGATTTCATTTTCACAGACCAATTAGGATAGTTTTCATAGTGAAAATGTTTGGGGCATTCAAAGAGAGACTGTTGCTTGCCATATTTTTAGGTTAAAAATTTGTTGAAAAAAGCAGAAATTGAAAATAGCAACCCAAACGGGTTAAAATGGATAACCCTTACGGGTTAAAAATGGTATGGTAGTTCGTTGGAAGATTTCAGAGATCCCATAAGATAAATGAAGCTCTTGATACCACTGTTGGTGTTCTCTAAAAATGGAGCAACAAAAAGAATTGATTGAAATATCTCTCAATATATTTATTAAGCATAATAGAACTTTAAATAGCCAACTTGATAACATAATGCAGAAAAATGTGCATGCATAAAAGGCTAAATAATCTCAACAATTAAAACAACCTAACAAATATTTAAAAATCAAATGCATCCTAAAGATAGGTAACTTATTATGCTAAAAAATGACTGCAGTAACTAAAAACAAACTCAACTTTCTCAAACAACCCACAGTGACATTTGCAAAAAGAAGAAGAAAACAGAAGCAAGTACCATTGAAGCCAAAAGAGAAACAAGCTCGGGTGAGGATGAATCTACACTTTGAGAAGTCTGAGCGACATGTGTCTCACCATCTCGAGGGCACCAGTTCCTCTTCAAAGGAATGTTTGGGTGCTGAAGTTGTTAGAGATTCTTGATTAAATTTTCATTTTTCCTATCGAGTATCTCATCCTTAAGTGCTTCTTTCACAAGTATAGGATCCTCCAAGCAAGGAGTTACATCTCCAGGAATACCTCCTAAGTGGTATTTAAGCCGATAAAAACTAATAACCACTTTACCACAATAGTTTCACTTAATTCCTTACTTCTTTTGAACATAGTGTGGCAACTGATCAGAAGAAGTCAAGAATTAAGTGTAAGTATTGTGGTAAAGTTGTTTCTAGTTTTTATCGGCTCAAGTGCCACTAAAGAGGTATTCGTGGAGATGTAACTCCTTGCTTGGAGGCTCCTATACTTGTGAAAGAAGCACTTAAAGCTGAGCTACTTGATAGAAAAAATGACAATTTAAACAAGAAGTTTGAGCAACTTCAGCACCCAAACCTTCATTTGAAGAGGTATTGGTGCTCTGGAGATAGTGAGACACGTGGCGCTCAGACTTCTA